GGGGGGAAAAAAAAAAAAAAAAAAAGGGGGGAAAAAAAAAAAAAAAAAAAAAAAAAAAACCCTCTTAAGATTCCATTTCCCTTGATGCCTTGCGGCCACTCCGACTACAACTCCCATCATGCCTGGCAGCCGCATTGCCTGTGATCACCACCGGCGTCCCTTAACCGCTTTACTACCCAGCATTCCTCGCTGTTTTCCTACCTGACCGTCAGGCCTAGTGGGTCCTAGGAAAAGCCAATCAGATCAGTGAGTAGGAGGCCAGGCAGGCCAATCGCCGCGTCGTCGGGGCGGGGAAGGGCGTGGCCATACCCTGCCCCGCCCCTGCCCCGTGGCTGCTACCCTTCAGGCTGGTGCCTCGGGCGAGACCTAAAGATATGGGCACCACCTGGAGGAGCCCAGGATGGGTGCGGCTCGCGCTCTGCCTCGCGGGCTTGGCGCTGTCTCTCTACGCGCTGCACGTGAAGGCGGCGCGCGCCCGGGACCGGGATTACCGCGCGCTTTGCGACGTGGGCACCGCCATCAGCTGTTCGCGCGTCTTTTCCTCCAGGTGCGCGCGGGACTGGAAGACCTGGGGTTCCGGGGACCAGGAGTGCCTGGCGGCCAGGTTGCTGGATGATTTTTGGAGTCTAGGTTCGAGGCGCCCGGGGAGTGGACACTTGGGGGCCGAACTGTTCGAGGGGGCGTTGCACGCGACTTGGGTGTGCACGGGGATTCGAGATAGGAGTGCGCGTCAGGAGGACAGATAGTGCTACGGACTAGCGTTATTCTGGGGAATCGCACGTGGATCTGGATGCCACGGAATAAAGGTGACCGGGACAGACAGGGAGGTAGGGTAGCGGTAAGGACTGATGATGGTCTTGAGGATGGCGCCAGGGGGCTGGGAATGGCCGTCTCAGGGACAAGGTGGCCGGATCTGGCTGTGCTTGAGGGCAGGGGTTTAGTGGTTAGTGGGATGGTGAAACATGCAGGAGGGGAGTGGGTGGCCAGGGAGCTGGAGGTTTGGAGGTCCAGGGCAAAGAGAATCTCCCTGGGGTTCCCAGTCTCTGGTAACTCTGTAAAGCTGGATCAGTCATTATACCAGCCTTGCCATCTTAAGAATTATTGAAGGAGGGCTGGTCCGTTAGCTCAATTGGTTAGAGTGCCGTCTTATAACACCAGAATCAAGTGTTTGGGTCCCTGTACACGCCAACTACCAAAAAAAAAAAGAAAATTATTGAAGGTCTACTAGGATGAAAAGAGGGGCCTAGCAGAGGAGCTATGGCCAAGCCTGTCCTGGGGATAGGGGAGGATAGGAGCATGGACTCCTGACATGGCCAAAGGTGTGGGAGGCCAAGAGGTCATCAGGTCATCGACCCTTGGATGGGAAAGAGGAAATCACCCTTTCTGGACAGGGCCCAAGGCACTAGGTTGACACTCCTAACCTGACTGCCCCTCACCACCACCAGGTGGGGCCGGGGCTTCGGGCTGGTGGAACAAGTGCTGGGACAGGACAGCATCCTCAATCAATCCAACAGCATATTTGGTTGCATCTTCTACACACTACAGCTGTTGTTAGGTGAGTGGCCCCACCCCTTCGCCATGGGCCTCTTTCCCCTGGACCAGCCCAGCCCCACCCCATTCAGTCTTGGTGACCCAGACAGCTGCCCACCAGCTGCTCAATTACTGAGCATCCTGGGGGTGAGGAGGCAGGGAGAGAGCTAACAGGAGTCTTTAGGTTTAGGTTGGTTTAGGTACTGTCAGGCTAAAGGGCCCTTAAAGACTTCCTAATTCCTAATATTTGGGTCTCAGGGATCATTGAATAGATAAGGGAACCAAAGTCTTGGAGGGGGCCTGTCAGATCCTCTTGTTTTAGAGACACTTCCCCAGAAGTCCCTATTGTCTGGGTGGCACCCTGAAGTCATGGCAGTGTTCTAGAGGTAGCCGGTCCCTGGAGCCCAGCCCTGATCCTTTTCTGCCTTGCAGGTTGTCTCCGGGGACACTGGGCCTCTGTCCTGCTGGTACTGAGTTCCTTGGTGTCTCTCGCTGGTTCTGTCTACCTGGCCTGGATCCTGTTCTTCGTGCTCTATGATTTCTGTATTGTTTGCATCACCACCTATGCCATCAATGTGGGCCTGATGTGGCTTAGCTTCCAACAGTTCCAGGAACCCCAGGGCAAGGCCAAGGGGCACTGAGTCTTCACCCTAAGCCAGGCTGACCTTGTGTGCTTTGTTTTGGCACGTGAGCCTTGCCCAAGGGGGCCGTGGCTGAGTTCCTAGAAGGCCCTGCTTTCCCTTCCCCTGCATACCCATACACAGGACAATGGACCAAGTGTGCCAAGCCCCTTCCTTCATGCACTGTCTCTGGCTCTGTCCCCAAGGGCTGGTTTCCAAAGCTCCTGCCATTGCCTGGGGAAGAAACGTACTGAGCAATAAAGTTTCTCAAATAAGTTGGCCCAGTATGAACCATCTGTCTGCTGGGGACCCTGGTCTTGGGCCGCCCTCAGTGTTGCCTTCTCTGGAGCTGAGAAGGATGAGTCAGAAAGAGAGTGGAGGGCCCGCTGGGAAGGGTGGTTATGGCTGTCCCATCTCAGTGTGTGGAGTCAGCACTGCCTGGGGCGCCATCGGCCCCCACCTCCAGGAAACAGGCTGGCAGCTTGTCCCTCCTGCCCACGGGAGCCAGATCTCTTCTCCTGGGAGGGCCAAGCATGCACCTGCGAGGCAAGCTGCCCTTCTGGTTCTGTGAATGCTTGCTGGGAAGGTCTTCCTGTAGTCTGAACCCCTCCAGCTGCCTTATCAACCATCCCAAGCCCAGTCTCAGCAGCCCTGGAGGTCCAGGGCCAGGTTATGAGTATTTTGTTTTGTTTTTCCTAATATGTACTGAGCACTTACCTATATGCCAAGCACAGTTTATGAACTTGTATTAACGTGTTAACTCATCTAATCCTTATAGCAATTGTAGGAAGTAGGTAGTGTTATTATCCCTATCTTTTTTTTTTTTTTAAAAAGATGACCGGTAAGGGGATCTTAACCCTTGACTTGGTGTTGTCAGCACCACGCTCAGCCAGTGAGCGAACCGGCCATCCCTATATGGGATCCGAACCCGTGGCCTTGGTGTTATCAGCACCACACTCTCCCGAGTGAGCCACAGGCTGGCCCGATTATTATTATTTTTTTTTTCCTTTTTGTCTTTTTTCGTGTCCGGCAATGGATCGCAACCCTCAGTGTCACACCCGTACCGGACTGGGACCGGCAACGGGATCGCAACCCTCAGTGTTGCACCCGCACCTCGCTCAGCCAGTGAGCGGGAACCGGTCTGTATTTGGGATCCGAACCCTCGGCGGGAGCGCCGCCGCGCTCCCACGCGGCGCACTGTAGCAGTGCGCCACCCGGCCGGCCCCTCTATCTTGATGAAGAAACTGAGGTACAGAGAGGCTAAGTAATTTGCCTAAGATCACACAGCTAGTGCTAGGGAGGGGGTTAGGGAGCTCTCGGGATTTGAATCCACCTGAGCCATCTTGTTCCAGCATCTATGCTCTAAACCCTACCTACAGCTGCCTGGGCTGGCTTGAGTTCAGAGTCAGGAAGAGGAAAAGGGATGTACCCTGAGCATTCTTTCCTCCTGACTGTGAATCTTCCAACACCCACAAGAAAGGTGGGCACTGCTGTAACCCTGTTTCCTGGGAAGGCAGCAGGCCCAGAGAGGTGTTAGGATTTGCCAAAGGCTTATGGCCAGCCAGTAGCAGAGAGCCCTGGCCCCTCGGCCCCCTGCCCTGTACGTGTTGCTTCTGAAGCAGACATGGGGAGAAGTTATGTGAAACCCACTTGGCCCTGGCCTGGGAGACAGGTGGGAAGGCTGAAATGAAAAGTGGGAACTGGGAGGGCCTGCCCACCATGCCCTTCACAGTTCCAGGATGACAATTCCCCGCTGAGAGCAAGTTTACTGTGTCCCAGGCTCTAGTCTAAGCATTTTTACATTCAGCAACTTGAGTTTTTCAGACAAGGCACAGATAGGTAACTGTCCAAAGTCACTAAAGTAGTAAGTAGGGGAACTGAGATTTGAACTCTGGCAGTCTGGGTTTAAGGCTAAGGCTCAGAGAGGGGTGGTGACCAGCCCAGGGTCACACAGCCACAGCCTCAGAGCTAGGAGCTGCTGGCTCCCTTCCAGCCCAGGAAAAGCAATGATTCATGACTCCTAGCCAACTAGGGGCGGAGCAGAGGTGGAGCTGGGGAGACCGAGGTGGCCTCTCTGAGCACCACAGCACAGGTGGCAGAGTGGCCCAGAGCAGCATGAAGCAGAGCTGGGGACCAGGGCTGCTCATCCTGGGAGCACTGGTCTTCATAGAGGGTAAGCCACTTGTGTGTGAGGGAGGGGGTCATGGTATGGTAGGGTTGCAGGGCCACCTTCCAACCCAGCGGCCCCTGCAACTTGGAGTGTGTGAGGGAGCCTGCTTGTGTGTGCATCCTGTGCCCCTGGCTGGCATTCTACTTCCAGAACACCCTCAGGCAAGTTCTGGGCCCCTCTGGCCTTCAGTCTCCCTCTTTACATCCGTCCCATTTCTCAGCTGTCCTGGCTCAGATGTTTAATGGGTGTATTTGTGGGTGCCTGTGATGGGGAAGAGGCAGGACAGAGACCCTTTGGTAGGATCACTGCAGTTTCTGGTGAGATGGGGGAGTCTGAGTTGTCAGAACAGGGGTAAGGGGAGCCTTAATCTCCAGGGGCCCTCCCCACTTGGACATGATGTAGTTCTTCCTCTTAGGCCTCCTTGGCTGAGGGGACAATTAAGCTAATGCTCTCCACATACACAGGCCACCTTCCTGACTCAGCGGCAGGGGTAGGAGTTGGGGGCTTTGAAGCCCGGAGGAGGGTTGGCCTGGTCTCAAGCTGCACCCCAGGCCCTGCTCCTTGGGCCCAGGAGTGCTGAGCACAGCTGAGGGGGAACTAATTACTGAGTGTACACTCTGAATAGCTTCCAATAAAAGCTGTTTCTTGACCTCATATAAATATTTTCATTCTGGGAGGGGCTGGTGAGGTAGCCATAGAGTCATAGGCAAGGGCCCAGCACCTGTCCTCCCCAACCCAGCCCCTCCACAAAGCCTGGACAGGGTAGGTAAGGCTTCTCAAGTCTTACCTGTGTCTCTCTCTCCCCAGGTCTTCAGACAGCTCAGCATGGTAAGCTCTGGGGACATGGGGCCTGGGCCTTACTTCGGTCTGAGGCAGACCTGGGGTGAGGGCAGGCCAGGGGTCTGCTGTCAGCATGACCCGCCCCTCTCCATAGCCTGTGGGCAGCGTGGCCCTGGTCCCCCTGAACCTCAGGAGGGCAACACGACACCTGGAGAGTGGCCCTGGCAGGCCAGCGTGAGGAGGCAGGGAGTCCACATCTGCAGTGGCTCCCTGGTGGCAGACACCTGGGTTCTCACTGCTGCCCACTGCTTTGAAAAGTGAGTCATGGTTGGGGTCAGACAGGGTCTCTGGCTTTGGGGGTGGATGATTTGTCCCCAAGCCCCACAAAACTGGTCCCTGCCCTTAAAATAATAATAAAGTACCATTTATTGAGAATCTGCCATGTGCCAGGTACATATCAATTTAAACTTAACAGGACTGGCCAGTTAGCTCAGCTGGTTAGAACGCAGCCTTACAAACCCAAGGTCAGGAGTTCAGATCCCCATATGAGCCAGCTGCAAAAAAACAAAAACAAAAAAACCCTTAACGACCTTTCACGCAGAAGCTTTACAAGTGAGAAAACTGAGGTTTTGAGAAGGGAAGAAGCTTGCTCAAAGCCACAGACTGGAATCTGCACATCTTCCACCTACCTTTTGCTGTCTCCTGTAGTGTCATGGTCTTTCCTTGACTCAACATCTGGCCTTGTCCCTCCTCTTCCAGGGAGGCAGCAACAGAACTGAACTCCTGGTCAGTTGTCCTGGGTTCTCTGCAGCGTGAAGGGCTGAGCACAGGGGCTGAGGAGAGAGGGGTGGCTGCCCTGCAGTTGCCCAGGGCCTATAATCACTACAGCCAGGGCTCTGACTTGGCTCTGCTGCAGCTTGCCCACCCAGCGGCCCACACACCCCTCTGTCTGCCCCAATCTACACATCACTTCCCCTTTGGAAGCTCCTGCTGGGCCACTGGCTGGGATCAGGACACAAGTGATGGTAAGTGCTATCCCAGACTGAAGCCCAGAGAGGCATTCTGCAAAGACAGTTTCAGCTCCCAACTGTCCCGGCTTCCAGTCTCCCTTGCTTCCCAGAGCCCAGACTCCAACCCCAACCCCATCTCTTTTGCCAGCTCCTGGGACCCTCAGGAATCTGCGCCTGCGTCTAATCAGCCGCCCCACATGTAACTGTCTCTACAACCGGCTACACCAGCGGCTGCTGTCCAGCCCGGCCCGGCCTGGGATGCTGTGTGGGGGTGCCCAGCCCGGGGTGCAGGGGCCCTGTCAGGTCTGAGAGGGAGGAGAGGGGAAGGAAGCAGAAGGGGAATGGGCCTGGCCTTGAGCCAGGGGGTTGACCCACAGGGATGGGTGGAAGAGCCACAGTCAGAGAATGTCTGTCCCTGGCTCTGTTGCCTGGCTCCAGGGAGATTCCGGGGGCCCTGTGCTGTGCCGAGAGCCTGACGGACACTGGGTTCAGGCTGGGATCATCAGCTTCGCAACAAGTTGTGCCCAGGAGGACACTCCTGTGCTGCTGACCAACATGGCTGCTCACAGCTCCTGGCTGCAGCCTCGAGCTCACGGGGCAGCCTTTCTGGCTCAGAACCCAGAGACCCTGGGGACCAGTGATGAGGACAGCTGTATAGGTATGAGCAGGGGTGTTGGGAGTGGGACACGTGGGGACACCCAGGCCCGCACAAGGACTTCTGGGCAGGGGTGGAAGCCACAGCGAAACAAACTTCAACTCAGAACACAGAACTGACATAGGCATGCACACATGGCCAAGGACTAACTGGGGGCTTTTAAGGCCCCTTTCAGACCCTGAAAACAGCGAAACAAACTTCAACTCAGAACACAGAACTGACAGAGGCATGCACACATGGCCAAGGACTAACTGGGGGCTTTTAAGGCCCCTTTCAGACCCTGAAAGCCCCATAGGGCTGAGAGGCATAGATGCTCTGGAACTTTACGAGTTTGGAGTTTAGTTAAGGAGAGGGATCTCTGAGACCTGGTTGAAGGTTTTGGGGGAAAGCCGTAAGCTTCCAGGCTGGGACCCAGTGAGGCTGGACAGGGTAGGGTTCCCTATGAGAATTCTGGCATTAAGTGATTGACATGTAAATCACATGCAAAATAATTTCTGGGACAGAAATTATGTCTTGATGGTAAGAGAAGCCTTAGTGAGCTAAGAATTCTGGAACCGGTCCCGGCCTGGAGGGGTACAGACGGGTGGGGCGGGGGATTGCTGAGCCAGGCTGTTTCTGTAGACTGGGATGGGAGTCCTGTCAGACTATGAAAGCTAACAGCACCAGCCCTGGCTTTTGAATCCCAAGTTGGCTACTTTCCTATGGTTATAGAACTAGAGTCACTTAGCCTCTCTGGAACTTTGGTTACCTTCAGTAATGAAGGTAACAAAATTCAACTTAAAAGGAGTATCTAACAGTATGTGGGCAGTGCTTAGCACAGGGCCTGGCATGCAGCGAGCACTTAATAAGAAGTCGGGTGATGTGATCCATGTTTCAGCCTGTGGATCCTTGAAGGGAGGTCCCCAGGCAGGAGCCCCTTCCCTGTGGCCCTGGGAGGCCAGGCTGAAGCACCAGGGGCGGCTAGCCTGTGGCGGAGCCCTGGTGTCAGAGGAGGCGGTTCTGGCTGCTGCCCACTGCTTCATCGGGTAAGCCCTGTTCCCCTCTCCCTTGTGTCCCTGCTCCTGCCGGCAGCCCTGTCACCCAGTGGTGTCAATGCTGCCCTGCACAGGCGCCAGAGCCCAGAGGAATGGAGCGTAGGGCTGGGGTCTGGACCAGAGGAGTGGGGCCTGAAGCAGCTCATCCTGCATGGAGCCTACACCCACCCAGAGGGGGGCTACGATGTGGCCCTCCTATTGCTGGCCCAGCCTGTGACACTGGGCCCCAGCCTGCGGCCCCTCTGCCTGCCCTACGCTGATCACCACCTGCCTGATGGGGAACACGGCTGGGTCCTGGGGCTGGCCCACCAAGGAGCAGGTATGTGGACAAGGGGTTATCAGCAGCTGTCCATCCAGCCTAAAGGCTTCTGGGGCAGCCAGGTCTTTTCCCTTGCCCTCTAGGCATCAGCTCCCCCCAGACAGTGCCTGTGACCCTCCTGGGGCCTAAGGCCTGCAACCAGCTGCATGCAACCCCCGGGAGTGACAGCATCCCCATTCTGCCAGGGATGGTGTGTACCAGTGCTGTGGGTGAGCTGCCCCACTGTGAGGTGAGCCCCAGTCCCCCAAACCCTACCCAAGATCTCTGGCATCCCTCACCCTGCAGCTAATGAACAGACCTTTTGCCTGCTTGGCCTCCAGCCCTATCTCTCACTTGAAACTAGAACTATCTGCCAGCTAGCCCCCAAACAGCCAGAGCTTCAGCACTAGCCCCTTCTGCTGTCCCCCGAAGCTGCCTTAGGGGAAGACAGGGTCACCCAGTGTCACCTGACCCCTGACAGAGCCTTTCTGGGGCACCACTGGTGCATGAGGTGAGGGGCATGTGGTTCCTGGCTGGGATACACAGCTTTGGAGATGCCTGCCAAGGCCCAGCAAGACCTGCAGTCTTCACAGCGCTCCCCACCTATGAGGACTGGGTCAGCAGTTTGGACTGGCAGGTCTACTTTGCCGAGGAGCCTGAGCCTGAGCCCGATCCTGAGCCCGAAAGCTGCCTGGCCAACATGAGTATGTGGCGCTGGGGCCTCCCTGCTGGATTCCCCCTCGATTCCTTCTCTCTTAATCTAGGGAAAGTGCTGTTCTGACCCCCTCTAGCCATCCTGGGTTGGGTGGGGCAGACCTGTCTGGATTCACATTCTGGCTCTCCTCCATTGTGTGACTTGGAACAGGCCTCTCAGCCTTTTGAGCCTCAGCGTTCTCACTTGTCACAGGGACCAAGAGAGATCCTGTTCCTTCAGGGAGGGATCAAAGTTGTGAGGATGAGGCCAACCCCACCCTCATTCTTCTCCCTGACAGGCCAACCAGCCAGCTGTTAACAGGTGACCCAGGCTGTTCGCAGGACATGGAACACAGTCAATTCCCACTGCCCCTGCCCCCACCCATGTGTGGTTGCAGGCACTGGGACAGGCTCAACAGCCTAGCGGGACCTAGCCAGCACAGGACCAGCAGATGCCCCATACCCCCCTGCAGGACAGGGGTGTCACTCGCCTGTGACTGTCCCCACACCCAGCTCTGCTCTCCAATGCAGGCATCCCCAGCTTTCCCTATCCTTCATCCTCTCAGATATAACCACACCAGCCACCTGTTTTGAAAATTTCTTTTTATGGGGGCAGCGATTTTCCTTTTTTTAAAACTTAAATAAATTGTTACAAAATAGACTTTAGAAAATAAGTTACAAATTGTAGCAAAAGGCTCCCTTTCCACAGGCAACATTCCCACCCATGGCCTCTCTGAATCTGCCTCTCCCTGGTGTCAGAATCTGGCTGATGAGGCAGAGTCCTCCACTGGGAAGAGTGTGGTGACAAAGGCTGGAGGAGGGAAGTCCTTTAAGGACAGGGACATGAGGAACACCCCATCCCCGTTTTAAGAAAGAAGCCAGCTCTGGGTCCTCATCGCAGAGGGAGAGAAGAAAAGAGATGCGGATGCCCAAACTACTCCTGAGCAAAAAATAGAGATCAAGTCCCTCCCTGCCCGCACCCCCCTCCCCAATATTCTGATCTTTGGAGACTTGAAGTTTAGAGGGAGAAGCTGAGGTCTGCAGGCCACTGGGGTGAAGGGTCCAAGAGTGGGGTTGTGGGGGTGGGTGGAGAGGGCAATGACAAGTCCCCTCTGCCTGCTGCTGGTGCCACTGGGGCTCCTGGGGAGAGAGAGAGGAGTCACTGACTGAGGGGGCAGCCCCCACACAGCTTGTACCCCCCTCCCAGCTCTGCGGGCCATTCCCCACCACCCATGGCTCCAGAACCCATACGAGAACCCAGAAACCCCTAGGACTCCCAGTAATTTTCCCAGCCATGGCTAACTGGCTCCTTGCTCATTTTCCTTGAGGTCACGAAAAACCTATTATTGTGAAAGCCATCCCTTTAGCTCTCCGGGGACTCTCACCCATCACCCCTCCTTCCTTGGCAAGCTCTGGTCAAGGGCCCACCACCTCAGGGACACCCACCCTTGGTGGCCACTAGTTGGACTGGGTCCTTCTCTCTAGAGGTGGAGAGAGTGAGCCCAGGGCTTGCTGAAGGGACAGGCTGCCCCACTCCTCCGCAGCCTCATCCTCCACCAGGCTGGGCGGAGATGACTACACCAGATCTCCTCTGATAAAGGACGTGCGATAAGGGCTAATGGCTGTGGTTGCAACAGCTGGGCATGGCTTCAAAGAAATAATTATCTGTGACTCAGTCCTCCAGTTAAAGGTGTGCAGGGGGTGGGGGATAGATGTGGAAAGGGTGGTTTGGTTGGATCCTAAAAAGGAAATATGCATTCTCAGGCTGGGGTTGCTTAAAGGGGAAAAAAAAAAATCTCCCCCCCAAAACAAAATGACTGGTCACAGCATGGCAGAGGAGCCCAGACCGCTCGCTGCCTCTGCCCCTGCCCAACCACTATCCCCACCTTGCATGGCTCTAGCCCACCAGGCTCTCTCTCCACCTGACCTGGGTGCTCATATCTCAGCTGTTCAAAAGGCAGCATCCTTAAACTGGTTTTCTCACTCCACATCCAAGCCCCAGCCGCCTGTTGGAAACCATGACTCTCTCTCACTCCTTGCTCCCTTACCCACTTGGGGCCCAATTTCACTCTCCACTCTGTGACCACCTCCTTTGGGGACCCTTCAATTCTCTGCCCAAGCCCATTCATGCCTCCATACCAGAGCTGGCCACTGTCCATTCCTCCTGGTGCTGCTGCTGCTGGTGCTGCAGGAAGCTGATTCGGCGGCGGAAGTGGCGGGGACAATGGGGACAGGTGAAAGGTCCCTCCTGGGGTGCATGGACCCGCCCATGGCCCTCCAGCCGGGCTGCTGTCCGGAAGGCCTTGCCACAGATGCTGCAACGGTGGCGCTTGGGGTCTGTGTGGGTCCTCCCATGGTTCTTAAGGGACAGCAGGTTGGGTAGAAGCTTTGGGCAGAGGGAGCAGGGATAGAGTCCAGTGGTGTGGGCCTTCTGGTGGTTCAGCAGGCTGCCGGCATGGCGGTAGGAACGCCCACATTGGGCACAGCAGAAGGGCCGCTCTGTGTCTCCAGCCTCTGTGGCCTTCAAACCTTGCCCTCCACTAGCTCTCTCAGCACTCTCTCCTGGAGCTCTTGGGGGCTCTGATAGGAACGCCTGGGCTTTCCCTTGACCAGGGAGACCCACTTTGTCCTCCACAGTCTGAACTTTGGGACCTCTGGCCTTTTCTACCTGGGTTGGCACCTGACTATAGCCCCTGGCATGAGTCTGTAGATGGCTGGCCAGTTCCTGGTGGGACTGGAGGGTCTTGCCACAGTCAGAGCAGGCAAAAGGCTGGGCAGCTATGTGGTTGTGGCTGTGGCTGTGGCTTTTACTGGCCACAGGATCCAAAAATTCTTTGGAGCAGAGCATGCAATAGTGTCGGTCTGTCTTGTGGGTGTTGTGGTGGTTCAAGGGGCCCCCTGGCTGGCAGCAGGTCCTGCCACACTGGCTGCAGAAAGAGGAGTGACTCTCTGACTGGAGCTGAGAACTACTGTCTCCATTGTCCCATCCATCCACATGACTCAGACCAGGTCCATTGGACTGGCTGTCAACAAGGTGGCAAGGACTCCTGGGGACACTGTCCTCTGAATCGCCTTCTGGCTTGGTCAGTACCTGGCCCTGAGGAACCCAACCTCCATCGTGACTCACCAGTCCTTGGTCTCCTTGCCACCCATCTGCCTTCTGCACACCCCAGGACAATGGCTCTGTGGCTCCTGATGCCTTGACAGGGCTCAGACTGTGCTCGTCTGGCCTCAAGGCCCCATCCTTCAGCTGGGGTACTGACTCCATACTACCTGCCCTGCCCTCCTGTCCCTGGTTGGCAGCCAGGTTCCCCTCTGTGCCATTTGGGCCTTCCTGGCCACTAGCCAGCTCCCGTTTGGTCTCTGCCTCATGCTCCCGCAGGTGTCGCTCCAAAGATCCCCGGCCAGGAAAGCCATGGCCACAGAGGGCGCAGCGCACAGTTGATCGCCGACTTCGTCCTGCCCGCCGCCGCCGATTCTCTGAGTGCAGCCTCTGATGGTCCTTCAGGGCCATGCGGTTGGAGTAGGTCTTGGGGCAGGTGGGGCAACTGTACTGGCCTGTCTCATGGCTGCGCCGGTGGTTCAGGAGGCTGCCGGCATGGCGGTAGGTCCGCCCACACTGGCCACACCGGAAGGGCCGATCTTCCCTGACCAGCTTTCGGGTGCCCCCACCCCCTCGCCGTTCAGCATGGACTCGCTGGTGGCTGGCCAGCTGTTTCCGCAGGCGGAAGGCCTTCCCGCACTCGCTACAGCGGAAACGCCGGGGATCTGCGTGGATGCGCCGGTGGTTCTTGAGGGACATGAGGTTCGAGAAGCCCTTGGAGCAGGCCTGGCAGCCAAAGTGGCCAGTTTGGTGGCTCTGCCGGTGATTGATGAGGCTGCCTGCATGCTTGTACGACCGGCCGCACACCTCGCAGCTGAAGGGCCGCTCAGAACTGGCCTCAGTCTGGCAGCCCTTCTCTGCAGTCTCCAACCTTGGCTCTTCCTCCTCCCCCTTCACAGTGGTCTCCTCCCATGCCTCTTCTTTCACCCTGGCCACCTCCTCCAGGGGCTCCACTTTAAGTTCTTCCTGGAGCTTCTCTACTTCTGCCGGCCCTGACCCCTCCTCTGCCATGTTCTGGGGCTCATTGCTGCTTCCTGCCTCCGGGAAGGGGCCCACCTGGGGCTCAGAGCCTTTGCAGCGAGGGTGGTTCCGCAGATGGTTACGGTAGGCAGCCAGGTTGGGGTAGCAGCGGGAGCAGACGGGGCAGGTGAAGTCTCCGGTCTGGTGGATCTTGCGGTGGTTCACCAGGCTACCCCCATGGCGGTAGGTCTTGCCACACTGGTTGCAGCGAAAGGGGCGGGGCTGGGCCTCCAGCAAACTTTCAGCATCCTGTCTGCGAAGGCTGCCAGCCTCTGTGGTGCCTACTCCCTCTTCAGACTTTGTGTCTCCACCCTCTCCAGAGACAGAGGTTACTGTGCCCTCCAAGACACTGTCTGCAACCATGTCCATGGCATCACCTGACACTCCCAGGGGACTGGCAGGCTTGTTTGTGGTAGTCCCAGAACTTTGACTTTGGTGGTGACGCTCCAGGCTCCCCAGGTCATCGTAGGTCTGCCCACAGCAGCCACAGATGTGTCCATACCCTGCTCCATCCAGCGCCTCCACCTCCCGCTGAAGCTGATTCAGCAGCTCTGCCTCCGAGAGCTGCAGGGGTGGGCTACGGGTGGAGGCTGCCTCTGTTGCTCCCTCCTCTTCCCCCTCCTCCTCTGAGCCCTCTGCCACACCTGAGGAGCTGTGAGCCTGGCGCCGGTGAAGCCTGTAGCCAGCCCGCCCAGGAAAGATCATGCCACAGAGACAGCATAGGAAAGGCTGCGCAGAGGCCGCCTCCCCAGGCCCGTGGTTCTGGAAGTGGCTGCGCAAGGCAGGTAGAGAGTCAAACTCCTTTGGGCAAAGGGAGCACTGATAGATGCCTGGTGGGTGGCAGGGCCTGTGGCTCAGCAGGCCGGTGGCATGGGGGAAAGAATGCCCACAGTCAGAACATGTGTGAGAGACCTCAGCCTGCCAGGCGGTGGCAGCTCCAGCTGAGTGGGAAGAAGAGTTAGGCCGGCCAGTGGCCAGTTTCTGGTCTTCGTCCACTCCAGTGAGGCCGTTAGAGAAGCAAGTCCCATTGCCTTCCTCATTGCCCGGGATTTCCAAGTTGTCAAGGAAACAAGCCTCCTTCCTTTCTAGCCCTTCTTCAGTCCCTCTGCTCTCTCCGTCACCCTGGAAACAGGCCTCATCCCTCTCAAGCCCACATTTGTCCCCTTCAGATTCAGCCTGCAAACAGTCCCCATCACTTTCCAAGTTGCCTTTGGCCCCACAAGGACTTTCCCCTGAAGGATCTTGGGGAAAGTCCAGGCTCTCACGGTCTTCCAACTCCTGGGCCCAGTTTCCCACTGACGGGAGTCTGGCTTCTCTCCCATTGCCAGCATTGCCAGCCCGTTTCCGATGCCGCCTGCTCCACCACCGACTGTGGCGTCGCAAATGGTTCTTCATGGCAGCCATGGTGTGGAAGTGCTTGGCACAGGCCCCACAACTGAAGTCCCCTGTCTGGTGGGTCTGCCTGTGGTTGATAAGGCTGCCCGAATGGCGATAGCTCTTTCCACAGTCTCGGCAGGCGAATGCGCGAGGAGGTGACAGGTTGGTCCCTGTCTTATCTTCCCCTTCTCCTGCCCTGTGGGTCAGGCTGTGATATTCAAGGCTCCTGAGGTCGTCAAAGAACTTCCCACAGGTGTTACAGATCTGTGGTACAGTCCTTTCTGCTGCTGATGGGAAATCGGTGGCCTCCTCTTCATGTCTGCACACATGCCCCTCAGCTGTGTGAGGAGCAGCTTCTGCTCCCAACGGGTCAGACGGGAGTTCCACCTTGAGGTGGCTGGGGGGACCCTCGGTCCCTGGGTCTGCACTTCGGCGAGCAGCCTTGCAATGTACCCGCACATGGTTGCGCAGGGCCATAAGGTTGGGGTACTTGCGGGGACAGAGTGAGCACTGGTATTCTCCTGTCCGATGGCTGTGGCGGTGGTTCACCAGGCTCCCCCGGTGGCGGTAAGCCCGACCACACTCATTGCACTTATAGGGACGATAGTCCAGGGTAGTGGAGGGGACCTCTTCCTCTTTGTGGGTGCTCTCGGCCAGCAGCAGGGGAGCTGATGGCTGCCCATCTTCCCCAGCTCCTTGCCCGGGTCTGTGATGAGCCCGCACATGGTTTTTGAGGGCGGCTGCATTGAAGAGCTGCTTAGAACAGATTGAGCAGGGATAGACACCTGTCTGGTGGCTCTTTCGATGGTTGATGAGGCTCCCAGCATGGCGGTAAGTACGGCCACAATCCCCACAGCGGAAAGGCCGGTATTCTTCCAGGCCACTGTCCTCCAGCTCCCCGGAGGTGCTGAGCTCTCCAGAGCCATTCAGCATCTGTGTACTAGGGAGCTGGTCCCGGCTGCTCTCATTTGTGTGCCCATTGGTGGTGGGCATCCCTTTCTCTTCCCATGGCCGCTCCTGCATTTCACCCTCATGGGACTGCTGGTGTTCCAGCAGCTCCCGGGGGAGCCGGAAGGCACGAGGGCAGTGGGGACAGTGGTAAGGCCGATACTGGGCATGGAGTCGGGAGTGGTTCTTCAGGGCCATGAGGTTAGAGAACTCCTTAAAGCAGATGGCACAAGGGTAATTGCCCAGGGTGTGACTCTGCCGGTGGTTGGTGAGGCTCCCAGCATGCTTGTAGGTCTTGCCGCATTGACTGCACTTGTACCGTCGCTCCTCCTCAGCAGGAGGGGACTGGGTGGGCTCCTGGCCCGCTGTGAAGTTCACTACTGATTCAGCCAAATACTGTTCCAAATTGCTAAGGAGGCTGCTGGCTGGGGTGGGGAGAGGGGGGGCTCTGGCAGAGTTGGTAGTGGGCCCCCAGCCCTCTGCACTTTCCTCGGGATCTGGCTGGCTCTCCCAGCCTTCTCTTTGTCTGGTGTGTGGATCTTCCCAAGTGCCCAGAGCTGCCCTGGGGTCAGGTCTAGACTCAAAGTCAGGTGTCTCTTCAGTATGTTTTGTCTGGTTTCCCCACCTTTCCCCAGGGCCAAGCCTCTGACCCCAGGAGTCAGAGGAAACCATCTCACCCTGGAGGTGAGGAGTGGCTACCTTGGGGCGGGGGGGCCTGCGCCTGCACCGGCCTTCAGGAGCATGAGTCCTCATGTGGCTCTTGAGGGCCATGGGATTGGTAAAGTCCTTGCCACAAGTGGTACAGGGGAAAAGGCCAGTCTCGTGGGTCCGGCGGTGATTGACCAGGCTCCCTGGGTGACGGTAGCCCCGCCCACACTGCTGGCAGCGGTAGGGCCGAGGAATGCTGTCAGCCTCCTCACTGTCCTGGTTGGGAGATGGATGGAGCAGTTCTCGGTGCCGTGACAGTTCCGGAAGGCTAGGAAAGTGGCGCTGACAGTTGGAGCAGCTGAGTGAGGGGGGTGCGTCCTCCATGGGGCAATGTAGCAGAAACCTGGAGCTTCAGGATGAGCAGACAGGTGGGAGCAGCATCTTCCTCTGGTGGAGGAGCTAAGGCCTAGAAAGAGAGAGCACTGGTCAAAAGGAAGGCCTGAATTAACGTTGCCTCTAGGTTCTATGAGCAACAAGTTCACCAGAAGTCACTGAGAGGTTCCCCAAGCCTCAATGCCCATAGACCTGCTTTCCAGTAGAAATAATCTTGAGGCACCATCATTTAAGGCTCCCTGTGCACAAGCTCCCTAAATATGACTGACTTAGGGATAAGTCAGCCCTAGAGGCACAGACAAGAAAACAAGTCTATAGGAATGCAATCTATTTCTGATCACATACCTACTATCGTGTTCTTCAGACCAGATCCAAAAGGTCTTACTGTTCCTAACCCTCTGCTCTTTATAATCCTGAAACAAACAAAATCTTCTGTGACATCTTAAAAGGAAACCAGAAGTCTTTCTAGGCTTCTCAATAAGAGAAGTTCAATCCTTCCTCCTTCACCCTTCAGCTAAACAAAGTAGCCTAGAAGCATTGAAAAAGCAACTACTTTCTCCAGTTGACAGCTGAGGACCTGAGAGGTTAGAGGCCCTCTTCAGAGAAAGAGCTGGCTTGTTCTTTTATTGCCACTAGTCTTTTCAGTGTCACAAGGTCACTTTTCCAAGAGACTCTCATGGCCACTTCCTTTACCTACTTCCCCTGAACCCAAACTATCTTCCATCTTGGAAATTCCACTCCATTCCAGGCTGGAATTTCATTTCATCCCTACCTTTTCTTTCCCATGGCCCCTCAACATCCTTTCTCATTTTTTCTTCTGCCTCCTCACTTAATACTGATGGTGACAGCAATCACTGTGCTAAGTATATTCATCTTGTCATTTAATCCCCACAACACACCGCAATGCCTGTTATCCCAGTTTACACATGAGCAGTCTTCACTCCAAAGCTGTGCCCTCTCAATTCCAGTACCTCATGCCTCCTACAACACCTTGGCCTTTTCCGACTCTGACTCCATGTTCCCGTGGGACCCCAACACAACTCCAATCTCTGACTCTAAAACCCCTCACTCATCCCTCGAACTCTCACCTTACAAAGCTCTTCGCTCAAGAGTCCCCTCCCCTAATCAACTACAGACGAGGTCCTCTCGTCTCACTCATCTCCTCTGCCAATCTCCTCTGCCAATCTCCTCTCAGAACCCCTACCTCGCACCGGCGGCTCCTTCTTGTTCCCGCCGCGGGCGCGTCCGTTGGGGACCGCGAACGGGAGCGCGCCTGCGCACTGGGACCCTTATCCTAACTGCAGCTGCACGCCCCGAGGGGTGGCTCTGGGGGGCTCTCGCGCTCCCACACACGCACACTCAGTCGGGGCTCCCGGGAGGTAGGAGGAAAGGGAAAGAGGGAAAGGAGAAGCGGAGGAGGAAGGAAGTAAAGGGAAGAGTGCACAGCTGGCACAAGCCAGAATTCTACCCCCAACTCCGCGGACACTTCCTATTGTTACTAGGAAACAGGAAGTGTCCTAGAGGCAAAAGCTTCCCCGCGAGACTTCCGCCTCGGGAACACTTCCCGTCCCGCCTCCTAGCAGCCCTTCTACACAGCCACACCTCACACTCTGACTCCGCCCACGTAGGTCACAGGGCGGTGTTTTTACGCACTACCTTAGCCACACTTCCGGCAAAAACTGCAAAAATCGTTCTGGTGCACATTGAATAAACAGAAGAGGGAAAAATTCTGCATTCCCGGTCACAGTACTTGGTGACGCTTTTTGTGGGGCTCCTTGAAAGACTCTCCCCAAGACAAATGGAGGAACTGTCATTAAATTCACTCCATGTTATTAAAGGAAATGTGGAATATAAGCGGATTTAGATACTACAAAGCTTGAGCAGGGCCTTTCTGCCCTCCCACATTCTAGTCCTTGCAGACACTTCCGGTGACCTGGCCCCAGGCTAGTAACAGCCGGGTTTATACCTTCAACCTGGCCGGCGCCCCCTACCCTTGGTACCCACAGAGACGCCTTGCAGGATGTTTCTCCGCCACTATAGGCTGGATGTAGTCCGTAAACTTTTCCTTCCTGCCTAGCGGGGAAAGCTCTCTTCCATTTCCGCTCGCCGCCGCCGGCCCCGCCTCCCCTGCCCCCTGCTGGGTCCTAGCGCCGACCCCTCTGGTAGTGTCCCGGGCTCCATCCCTGCGAAGAGCCGACGCTGACACCACGGAGCCAGCCTGAGTCCGATCAGGTAGGGAAAGCCAGCGAAAAGCCGCGGAGGCCCCCGGCGGTTCCCGCGCGACTGCAATCCGATCTGGCCTTAGTTTCCCTGTGGGCGCTGAAGGCGGACTGTGTTGCCCCGGCGCGAGCCGCGCGGGCGGGGCGGACGGCGAGCCGCCCCGGGCAGGTTCCCGGCCCAGCAGGTCCTAGAACCCGCCGGCTGTCTCCGCGGGCCGGCTCTTCGGAGACCGAGGCTCGGCCCGCGCGGCTGCCGGTCTTGCGCGGGGCTGGCCCTGGGGTCCTAGAGCCCGCCATGTTGTGGGCTTTTGTCCCAGTGTGTGAGAAAGATGGCAGCAGCTATCAAAACATTCCTGGCATAAGTGATATTCTATACATTCGGTACACCTAAAAATGTAAAATACCAAAACATGCAAGAAAAAAAAATCCAATTATTGTGATGATTTCAGGTGAACAATTCTGACCAAAATTTCCTGGGAACTATTCAGACATGACAAGGCCCATCTCAAGTCACTCTATGTATTAGTTTCCTATTGCTGCTGTAAAAAAACTACAAGCTTAGCTTAAACAACACGAGTTTATTATTTTACAGTTCTGTAGGGTAGGAGTCTGGCACAGGTCTCAATGAGCTAAAATCAAGGGATTGGCAGAGATGCATCTCCCGCGGTCCTAAAGAACGCCATCTTGCAGGCCTTTGTCCACATTTGGCCCTCCGTCCATTCATTTGTTCACTCCCTTGTTTTTCGCTCACTCCTTGCCACGTTCTCCGAGGCCACGTTTTCCGAGGGCTCATTCCGAGACGAGTCAACCTAGGGCCGTGTAAAGGCTGCTTGTCTCTCGGGGTGCCGACCTGGACGGTGGCAGGGAGCGAGGGGAGCAGGGTTTCTGCAGCTCTCGGCCCCTCCTCAGCGCGTCTGTAGACCCTAACGCCCTTCAGACTCCTTCACATGCGTTAGGGGCCGCATTTTACTGATTAGGGAATTGAGCCCAGAGCGCCGTGGAGCGCTTACCTCTCTGCTGGCCACTAAGTATTCCCGAGGGCACTGGGGCAGGGGCTAGGTATTTGAAGGATGCAAAAGAGTTTTCCCATGGGAGAAGACAAGCAAGGGCTCCATAGGCAGAGGAGACTGCATATGGAGGTGGGGACGGTTGAGAACTGTGGCTGGACCTTAGGTCGCTGTCGGGAGAAGGACACTGCCCCCGGAGCTGAGGCTGGAAAAGTATGTTGGGATCAACTTGTGAACTTTCCAGGTTGGAGGCCAAGGAGGCCATCTCTGCACTGTTCCGGCAACTCACCAGATTTGTCCTGGCCTTTGAGGCCTATGTGGTGACTTGTTTAGAGATGGGGAGACTGAAGTGTCTGCTCTATCACTTCATCCCTGCCCCCAGCGTCCTAGCCTAAGCTTTTTGGGAATTGGATTTTTTTTTTTTGGAGGCTGGCTGGTGCTGGGATCTGAACCCTTGACCTTGGTGTTATGGCACCGCACAGGAATTGAATCTCTGCATCCCTGGTGAAACAGCAGAACTTCATCACCCTCCTAAGCCAGTAGTGAAGCAAAGACAAGGCTCCATCACCACAGCAGTGAACCCACTGTGGGATACTAGGGTGATATTTGGACCCTGTGAACTGGGAAAGGCTGAAAAATTCAGCTGATGTATAGTTGTTGACTGACATTCTCACAGAGTCCTACAATTGGGGAGGCAGAGGCAGAGGGTTCGAATTCCATCTGAGGTTGATTCATTACGTTTGTTTTGGTCACCAAACAGGGTTCTGGATGTAGAGGATGCAGAATGCAGATAATCAGGTTTCCTGGCTCTTTGCCAGCCTGGATTCTGGTGCTGCAGACAGAGAATTAACAACAAAACCATAAGATGTGTAGGTCACTGGCTGTGACCATGACTAGTTAACTAGTTATTTTGCTTCTCTGTGGTGTTACTTCTTATAAGAATACTAATCCTATTAAGGAATTAAGGTTAAATGAGGTCATAAGGGGGGGCCTTAATTACTTTCATAAAGGTCCTATCTCCAAATACAGTCACAAGGTGGGTAAGGGCTTTAGTATATGAATTGGGTATGGGGGGGGGGACACAAACATTCAATACTTAACAAACTTCTAGGCAGATGTGAGGTTAGCTTGAGTAGTCTGAGTAATGTGCATAAAATGCTTAGAATGATAGCTGGCCCACGGTAAGCTTGCAAGGAATGTTATCCAGATGACACCATAAAGGAAGTTAAGAAGGAGGACATTAATGTGGAGGAGATGGAGAGTGAGCAGCAGGGATACAGACAGCATTAAGAAAGGTGGTCACGAAAGCCCTCTGAGTAGGCGACAGGGACCTAAGGCCCACATGAAACTAAAGAAACAGCTACACAGAGATCCTGGGGTAATAGTGGTCTGACAACTGCTCATGCAAAGGCCCTAAGGTAGAAAGGAATGGGGCTCTTTGAGGAGAATAAAGGGTGGAGCTTCGGAAGCCATGGAGAGAGTAGTGGGAGAGGAGGTAAGCAGGAGTTAGAGGGGCCTTGCTGGTCATGGAAAAGATATTGGCCTTTGTCCTGGGAACAGTTGGAAGTCTCATGATTTAGCTAATAAAACTTGAATGAATGAAGACTGGTAGAGAAAGAACCCAGCCTTGGGCCTGAAGACTTGGGTTTCAGTCTGGACTCCTTTACTAATTACATATCCTTGTGTGAGTTTTTTCCCTTTTAGCGACCTTAATCTCAGCATCTGACAAAGAGGTATAGTAAAAATGCCTCTCTTCTAGGACCTTGTGAAGGCCTAAGGATGTGTGTTTCGTTGGTTTTTATTTTTTTAAAGATAACTGGTAAGGGAATCTTAACCCTCAACTTGGTGTTGTCAGCACCACACTCTCCCAAGTGAGCCAACCAGCCATCCCTATATAGGGATCCAAACCTATGGCCTTGGTGTTATCAACACCACACTCTCCCAAGTGAGCCAACCAGCCATCCCTATATAGGGATCCAAACCTATGGCCTTGGTGTTATCAACACCACACTCTCCCAAGTGAGCCACAGGCTGGCCCTTGTGTTTGGTTCTTAAGTGTTGGTTGGAATGATCCAGGGAGTGTGTTTAAAGTACAGATCCCTAGGGCCAGCCCATGGCTCACTAGGGAGAGTGGGGTGCTGATAACACCAAGGCCACGGGTTCGGATCCCTATGTAGAGATGGCCAGTTAGCTTACTTGGGAGAGCATGGTGCTGACAACACCAAGTCGAGGGTTAAGATCCCCTTACTGGTCATCTTTTGAAAAAAAATTTTAATAAAAAAAATAAATAAATAAAGTACAGATTCCTGAGTCCTACCTCAAGATCCCTGGATGATTATTCTGATGCAAGAGTTTCACAGACCTGACTTGGAGAAACATTACTCTAGGGAATGGTGGGTAGAAGAGTCCTGGGTAAACAATGAAGTCAGGAGTTAATGGTGAGGCCTAGTTAGACAGAGGCCTAGTCTACCTTGCCCTGTACTCTTCATGGAGCTGGGCACCTGCTGGCATCAGTCTGGCACTCCCTTACCTTTTCCCATGGGAAGCGCCTTAGGAAGAAGGATGTACTCCTCTAGCTACCTGGTCTCTGGTTCAAAGACAGCAAGGGGCAGTCTAGAGGCCATAGCTCAGAATCAGTGGGCCTAGTCCTCTGAGAGGGTAACAGAGTCATAAAGGGTGGTGGCTCTGGTTTCAAGGCAGTTCTGCAAGGATGAGAGAAGACATATTTGGACCTGAGATCAGAGTTCTGGTCATTGTGGGGCTGGCTCAAGCAGCGAACAAGTCGGGGAGGCCCCAGACCACTAAACAAGGGCCCAACAACTTGAGGCAAGTTAATCACCTGGATTCAAGGCTGGCCAGTTAGCTCAGTTGGTTAGAGTGCGGTGCCAATAATGCCAAGGTCTAGCATTTGATCTCTGTTAATGGCCAGCCACAGAAAAGGAAAAAGAGATAAAGACATGTGGATTCATGGGCCGGCCCGGTGGCTCACTCGGGAGAGTGCGGTGCTGATAACACCAAGGCCCCGGGTTCGGACCCCATATAGGGATGGCCGGTTCGCTCACTGGCTGGGCGTGGTGCTGACAACACCAAGTCAAGGGTTAAGATCCCCTTACCGGTCATCTTTTAAAAAAAAAAAAAAAAAAACATGTGGATTCAGGTGTTATCCGTATGAATCCCAGCAGTATGACTGTGGGCAAGTCAGTTAACTCTTAGAACCTTAACTTATTCATCTGTAAAATGGGGACAGTATTCCCTATCTCGGGAAGCTATGAGAGAATTAGAGTCAAATGCTCAGCAAAGTGTCTGGTTCTAAGAAGACTCAATAATTGAGGGCAGTAATTTTTCTTGTCGCATTCAATCCTTACCCAGCCCTACAAGAAGTACTGTCATTACCTCTGTTTTTTAGATAAGAAAACTGAGGTTCTAAAACACACAATAAATTGCACAAAGTTACATCAGATGGCAAGTAATGGAGGCAAGATTCAAAACCAGGCAGTTTGGCTTCAGAGGCTGTGCACTTGACCATAATGCTATACTGTTTTTCTAGACCTCGGTTCCCTTACCTGTGAAAGGGAATAATAGAACTTTTCTCATAGTGTTGCTGTGAAGGGTCAGTGAGTTAAAACACATAAAGAGCCTAGGATACTGCCTTGTATTGGGCAAGTGCTCAGTAAATGCAAGCTATCATTTTTTTTAAGGAGAAACTTTATCAGGCAGACTCCAGAGTTGGTCTGGAAAGGAGGTAGTGAATGCCTCATCCAGAGACAGGGAGGGATCCCAAGATCCCCTGGAAACTAGGAGGAATAAAAACCATTGAGGTTAGAATTTAAGCCCCTTAACTCACCTTCAAGCCCCAGGATTTAATGGGAAAAGTGAAATAACCAAGCTGAGGGTAGAACAGTTGTGTGTGGTTTCGGCCAAAACCCAAAGAGATGCAGGAAGAGCTTCCTGGGGGGAGGTGGGGCTCAAATGAAGGATTGATAGGATTTGGAACAACCAGGAAGGACCTGAGAACTTGCATGGTATGATGAAAGCCATGGAAAGTTTTTGAGCAGAGAACAGGAAGCATGACATGGTACTTTAGGGAGAACTCTCTGGCTACATTGGGGGAGGTGGGGGAGGGCAGTGGGGAGGACTGAGGCAGGGCCTCCAGGGAGATAGGTGCTGACCCGAGAGATGCAGCCCTTGCCACTCACCCTAGGGGCTCCTGTATTTCCCCCAGCACCCTCCTGGCTCAGCGCAGCTCCAACTCCCTCCTGTGTCATAACTTAGAAGCCACCAACCCCTGAGGAGTTCAGATGAGGAAACAGGCCTATAAACAAGCACCAGTTTCATGGAGGTCTCATAGTAAGTTATCCATGGGGCTGGAAGTGGAACCTAGGCCTCCTAGCCTCTGGGAACCCCCCTCATCTCCCTCCCCTAGCAGCAGCTGCTGAACACTCCTTAAGTGGATCCACCATAATCCTCTTCTCTTCATCTCCCAGGGAGGATGAGCTGGTGTTAAGACTAATATAGCCATTAATCCTATTTGCTTCCAACTGTGATCCCCAGGAGCAGCTGGATGGAGGGTGTCTGGGCCCTGGACTGGAAAGTAGGGACCACAGCTCGAGCTGGTGTCCTAGGAGGCCACACCAGGTCAGATATATCGGTTATGACTCAGAAAGAGGCTTCTTTTTTTTTTTTTTTCCTTTTTGTCTTTTTTCGTGACCGGCAACGGGATCGCAACCCTCGGTGTTGCGCCCGCACCTCGCTCAGCCAGTGAGCGGCTGGTCTGTATGTGGGATCTGAACCCTCGGCGGGGGCGCCACCGCACTCCCAAGTGGTGCACTGTAGCAGTGCGCCACCGGGCCGGCCCAGAAAGAGGCTTCTAACTGCTAGCAGTGGCTCAAACTGCCTTGAGAGAGAGTGAGCTTCCCATTACCAGAGTTACTGGGACGGGAGTCCAACAGAGATTCCAGAGAAGAGGGTGGACCAGGATTCCTGTCTGGGGTGGAGTTCCTCATAGCTGTGTAGGACCAGAATTCTGTGTGAACAGTTGCTGTCTCTGAGAGCAAACCAACCAGCAGGGAAAGACAAAACACATGTGCTGGGGACCTATCACTTCCAGACATTGCCAACCACCACATTTAGCCCATTGGCTCCACCCTCTTCTGGACCCAGGCTTGTCTTCCCTGGGTGCTTGGAGACCTTCAGGCCAGGCCCATGTCTGGGTACCCTCTGCATCTGCAGCCTTGCACAGCACACTGTGTCTGGGTAGAGTCCTTGGACACTGAGCCAAAGAAGGAAGATGGCAACAGAAATGGAACCTGGGCCTCTGGGAATGCCACAGGGTTTGGAAACGTCCAGAGGTTGGGAAGGGAAAGGCAGGTGGAATTTTTGTGACCCCAGCCTCTTTTCTTAGCCTCTCTGAGGTCACCTGGTCCAACTCCTTTCTGTCAACGAGCAAATTAGAGTGGAAACTTGAACGCAGGGTATCAGAGCCAGGAATGCTTGGCAGGAAGGATGTGGGGTCCCAGTTCGGTCTGAGCAGCCCCAGGTTGGAAATGCAAATAAGATAGGGCCTCCTCTGAGGCCTCACTTTGGTTAGGAGAGAGGCCTTGAAGAAAGGTGAAGGGATGTAGCTTCGGTCTAATGTTTCTTCTCTTACAGAGAAGCCCCGCCCACCAAGGCCATGGAGGTGGAGGCCTCGGAGGCCCGGTCCCCAGCCCCTGCCTACAAGCGCTGTGGCCGCCGCTACAAGTGCCTGTCCTGTACCAAGACATTTCCAAACGCTCCCAGGGCAGCACGCCATGCTGCAACACACGGGTCTGCAGACTGCACGGAGGAGGTGGCCGAGGTGAAGCCAAAGCCGGAGACAGAAGCCAAGGCGGAGGAAGCCAGTGGGGACAAGTTGTCTGGATCAGCAGCTAAGCCTCGGCCCTACGCGTGCCCGTTGTGCCCCAAGGCCTACAAGACGGCACCCGAGCTGCGCAGCCACGGTCGCAGCCACACGGGCGAGAAGCCCTTCCCGTGCCCCGAGTGCGGCCGTCGCTTCATGCAGCCTGTGTGCCTGCGCGTGCACCTGGCCTCGCACGCCGGCGAGCTGCCCTTCCGTTGTGCGCACTGCCCCAAGGCCTACGGTGCGCTCTCCAAGCTCAAGATCCACCAGCGCGGTCACACCGGCGAGCGGCCCTACACCTGCGCTGACTGCGGCAAGAGCTTCGCCGACCCCTCAGTGTTCCGCAAGCATCGGCGAACACACGCGGGGCTACGGCCCTACAGCTGTGAGCGCTGTGGCAAAGCCTACGCAGAACTAAAGGACCTGCGCAACCACGAGCGGTGAGCGGTGAGGGCCGGTCCGGGGCGGGGACGACGGCGGTGGCTGTAGCCAATTGGGCCTGGGGTGGAGTCTCAAAGAGTAGAATGAGCCAATGGGAAGGTGGGTGGGGCCGACCTCGGGGAGGGGCTGGGCAGGTGGGAAGAGTTGGTGCCCCAGGTTGGATAGGGATGGGGCATGAGGGCGGGGCAGACCACCATGAGATGGAGCCCCGAGAACAGGGTGGGGTCAGAGTGGCCTAGGCTCCTGAACTGCTGGAACGGGGCAGCTTTTGAAGTTTGGCAGGTCAGAGGGTCTTTGGTGGTACACAGGGAGTGTGGGTGGGGCCTGTCCTGCCCAGGTCTTTGATGTGCACAGGGGTTTCTTACTCTGGGGTGCAGTCCTGTGTGTACCGATGCTCCCAGAGATGTTTAGGGAACCCCTAAATTACAGCCAAGACAGGCAGCGCAGCTCAGATTCTGGGGCTGTCACCTTCATGCCCGGTCCTCCACACTCCCACAGGTCCCACACTGGTGAGCGCCCCTTCCTCTGCTCTGAGTGCGGGAAGAGCTTCTCCCGCTCTTCGTCACTCACGTGCCACCAGCGCATCCACGCAGCGCAGAAGCCCTATCGCTGCCCGGCCTGCGGCAAGGGCTTCACGCAACTCAGCTCCTACCAGAGCCATGAGCGCACCCACTCGGGCGAGAAGCCCTTCCTGTGCCCGCGCTGCGGCCGCATGTTCTCTGACCCCTCGAGCTTCCGGCGCCACCAGCGTGCGCATGAGGGCGTGAAGCCTTACCGCTGCGAGAAGTGCGGCAAGGATTTCCGGCAGCCGGCAGACCTGGCCATGCACCGGCGCGTGCACACAGGCGACCGGCCGTTCAAGTGCCTGCAGTGCGACAAGACTTTTGTGGCGTCCTGGGACCTCAAGCGACACGCGCTGGTGCACTCAGGCCAGCGGCCCTTCCGCTGCGAGGAGTGTGGGCGTGCCTTCGCTGAGCGCGCCAGCCTCACCAAGCACAGCCGCGTGCACTCCGGGGAGCGCCCCTTCCACTGCAATGCCTGCGGAAAGTCCTTTGTGGTCTCATCAAGCCTGAGGAAGCATGAGCGGACCCATCGTAGCAGTGAGGCTGCAGGGGCTCCCCCACAGCAGGAGCTGGTAGTGGGGTTGGCGCTGCCTGTGGGCGTGGCAGGTGAGGGCTCAGCTGCCCCAGCAGCGGGTACGGAACTAGGGGACCCTCCAACAGGGCTGCTAGAGCTACCCCCGGAGCCAGGTGGTGTGATGGCCACACAGTGGCAGGTGGTGGGCATGACGGTGGAGCATGTGGAGTGCCAGGATGCTTGTGTTGGGGAGGCTCCTGGTCCCTTGGGAGGGGCAGGTGAGGTGGGGGGTGAGGAGGTTGACGAGAAGCCACCACAGTTTGTGTGCCGCGAGTGCAAGGAGACCTTCTCCACGCTGACGTTGCTGCGGCGGCACGAGCGCTCACACCCGGAGCTCCGGCCCTTTCCTTGCACCCAGTGCGGCAAGAGCTTCTCAGACCGGGCCGGGCTGCGCAAGCACAGCCGCACACACAGCTCTGTGCGCCCCTACACCTGCCCTCACTGTCCCAAGGCCTTCTTGAGTGCCAGTGACCTGCGCAAGCACGAACGCACCCACCCCGTGTCCATCGGGACCCCCACGCCCCTGGAGCCCCTTGTGGCTTTGCTAGGAATGCCTGAAGAGGGGCCAGCCTGAAGCCGGTGCCTCCCCCCAAGCCCCACACTCCCAGGAATCCAGCACCCCAGGGTGCTTCCCGAACTCCTTTTGCTCCAGCTCACTCTTTAGACTCCAGATCCCTGCCCCTGAGCAATTAGCTCAGCTGTCGCCCAACTGAGAGGCTGACAGCTGCTGTGAGAGACGTGGTTCTCTCTGAGCAACATCATTAAAGCACTCACTTTGACACTGGGCTGTCTTCTGTGTTCTGGTTTGGGGTGCAGGGGTGGGAGTTTGGGCATCAGATAAGGTTCAGTGGAGACCCCTGGCCTGGCAGATTAGAAACTAGAAGGGTCTTTGTATACATTGTTTGTCAAAGTATGTTTTAGGATGTCTTGCCACAAAGGGTTCCAAGGCCAAGTACAGAAAATTCCCTGTGCCCTTTTTGGGGATTCTTGGTGACCAAAAGTGTATTAGAGGTATTAAGTGCTGCAGTGAGCAAATCTGTTTAGCTTTGTTTAGCCTATACTTATTTGGCATGGAAACCTTTTACTGAGTAGTTCTACTGTCCTTTTATAGAAAATAAACTGAGGTAAAAAAAAATTAACCTTCCCTGTACACTGCAATAACAAATTAGAAATATACTTGGAGGAAAAAGGGTTTCCACTCACAACAACAAAACACACAGAACAAAGGAGTAAGCCTCACAAGAAACGTTATCTCTAACCTGAAGGATATGAGGTCAGACCTAAGTAAATGGAGACATATACCATGTACCTGAATGGAAAGACTCTTTAAAAGAAGCTGATTCTCCCCAGTTTAATCCTTAAATGCCTTGCCATCCTAAAGGATTTTTTATTTTATTTATTTATTTTTTTATTATTATTTTTTTTTTTTTAAAGATGACCAGTAAGGGGATCTTAACCCTTGGCTTGGTGTTGTCAGCACCACGCTCAGCCAGTGAGCGAACTGGCCATCCCTATGTAGGATCCGAACCCATGGCCTTGGTGTTATCAGCACCGCACTCTCCCGAGTGAGCCACAGGTGGCCCTCTAAAGGATTTTTTAAACAGAACTTGAGAATCCAAAGTTCATGTGCAATAAATTTTTTTAAAACAGTAGAGTTGATGTGTTTGATATGCTTCATAAACAGCAAATACTGGAGTAAAAACAGGCTATTATTGGCACAAAAATAATGGAGAGAGAGTGGGGGTGTTCAAAAACAGCCCTGACTATTTCTGTGAGTTTAGTTTTTATGGTAAATGTGATTATTCAAAACAGTGGGAAAGGATAGACTTAAATAACTTTCCAGTTGTATTCGTACTCTGGAAGGCTATACAACAATTTTAAAATAATTTTTCAAAGACCAAAAATGGAAAAACAAAAAGGAGGCCCCACATTTAGTGTAAATTGGTACAGCCTCTTGGGAAGATGATTTAATCATACTTAAAAAGTTGAACGCACATAGCCTTGGACCCCAGCAAGTACATCTCATAATTTACACCACAGATTTCTTCTTCCACTTCTGTTGCAAAATCAAAGATAGAAGAATATTCAATGCAGCAAACTTTGTGGTAACAAAGAACTCTGGAACACCCTAAATGTCCATTGACAGAGGACTAATTAATTAAGGCTAACCACTGTGAAATACACTATGCAGGTGTTTTTTTAAAAAATGAGGCCTATCTGTTACTGAACGATGTCCGAAAAATATGGTACAAAGCCCTGTAGTTAGTATGCTCCCCTTTGGGCCAAGTTACACATAAGTCCTCAAATTCCCATAGAATATTCTAGAAGGGTACTCAAAAACTGACTCAAGTTTATAAATTCCAGGCACTAATGCCTTCCCCATTCATAAGCCAAAACACAGCCAAAGGTAAGAGTGAATCAGAACCTCCTTTCTGTGCTCTTACCTCAAGACTTGGGGGCCACCAAATTGTAATTGTCAGGAAGTGACCAGCGTGCCAGATCCACATGCCAGCCATAGGGGATATCGTAGCAGTTGTCCATAGCCCAGGATTGATAGACCAGGTGGTCAAGTGCCAGGAGCAGAAGTGGCAGGTGTCTCCTTGATGGCAGGGCCTCAGCATCGTCATACCCAGGCCCTCAAACATTAGCTTTAGAAGGAGCCTTCACTACTGGTCTCCATAACAGAACAAGGGCCACACGTCAACAGCAGGGGCTACGGTGTAGGAAGAGAGCACCAGTTTGGCCAAGGACACTCACTGCTCATCCCTATACCCAGAACAGGGCAGCCACTGACCACAGGCCTCCTGTCTGTCCAGGCTGGGGCCACAGTCTGATGGGGGCCAGGAAAGAAACAGACCAGACTGAAGGATTGAAAGCAGGGGGACTTTGGTTACTACCAACTTGCTCTGTGACCTTGAACAAGATGGTTTATCTTGGGGGAGGGGGCGATACCTTTTTAAAATTGATACAAAGATACCATATATGCTGATCAACAGATACCCCTTGCTATCTACCTGTAATTAAGAATGAAGTGGTGATAACACTAAGATCAAGGGTTCGGATCCCTGTACAGGCTAGCCACCAAAAAAAAAAAAAAAAAGATATAATTCACATATCATACAATTAACCCTTTTGAAGCACACAATTAAGAGGTTTTTAGTGTATCACAGGGTTATGCAACCATCACAATCTAATTCTAGAATATTTTTCTCCCTCTAAAAGGAGTTCCATACCCATTAGCTGTCACTTCTTATTGCCCCCTGCTGCAACCCCTCAGCCCTAACCAGTCACTGATATACTTTCTGTCTATGGATTTGCCTATTCTGAACATATTTTGTAAATGGAATACCATATGTGTAGCTCGTATCAATACTTCATTTCTTTTATTGCCAAATAATATTTCATTGTGTTGATATACCACATTTTGTTTATTCATTCATCAGTTGATGGGCATTTGGATTTTTCCATTTTTTGGCTGTGAATAATGTTGCTATGAACATTCATGTACAAATTTTTGTGTGAACATATATTTTCAATTCTCTTGTATATATGAGGGTATTTCAAAAAAGTCATGGAAGGGCCGGCCCGGTGGTGCACTGCTATAGTGCGCCGCTTGGGAAGCGCGGCGGCGCTCCCGTCGAGGGTTCGGATCCCACATACAGACCGGTTCCTGCTCACTGGCTGAGCGAGGCGCGGGAGCAACACCAAGGGTTGCGATCCCGTTGCCGGTCCCGGCCCAGTACGGGGGCAACACTGAGGGTTGCGATCTGTTGCCGGACACGGAAAAAGACAAAAAGGAAAAAAAAAAAAAAGTCATGGAAAAATGGAGTTAAAAGATAATATGAATCTTTCCACGAGCTTTTTGAAGACCGCTTGTATACCTAGAACTGCTGGGTCACATGGTAACTCTATGTTTAATTTGAGGAACTGTCAGACTTTCCAAACTGGCTGCACCATTTTACATTCCCACCACTTGTTATTATCTGTCTTTGTTATTATAGTTGTTCTAGTGGGTGTGAATTTTGTAGTTTTGATTTGCATTTCCCTGATGGCAAATGATGTTGAGCATCTTTTCATGTGTTTATTGGCTATTTGTATACTGTCTTTAGACAAATGTCTATTCACGTCCTTTGCCCATTTAAAATTGGGTTGTTTGTCTTCATGCTGTTGAGTGGTAAGAGTTCTTTCTATATTCCAGACACAAGTTCCTTATGATTTGCAAAAATTCTCTCCTACTCTGTGAGTTTTCTTTTCACCTGCTTGATGATGCTGTTTGAAGCACAAAAGTGTTTAACTTTGATGACATCCAGTTTATCTACTTTTTCTTTTGTTGCTTGTGCTTTGGGTGCCTTAGCTAAGAAACCATTTCCTATCTAAGGTCATCAAGATTTATGCCTGTGTTTTCATCTAAGAGTTTTCTAGTTTAAAGTTTTATAAACGTTTATAAAGTTTATAACTTAGTTATAAACTTATAAAAGTTTTTATAAACTATAAAAGTTTTATCACTGAAAGCTCTTACATTTAGGTCTTTGATCCATTTTGAGTAAATTTTTGTGTAAGGTTTGAGATAGGGATCCAACTTCATTCTTTTGCTTTGGATGTCCAGTTGTCCCAGCACCATTTGTTCAAAAGACTATTTGTTCTCCATTGAATTGTCTTGACACTTGTTGAAAATAAACTGACTCAAAATATTAGGGTTAATTTCTGGACTCTCAATTTTATTCTATGGGGATATTATGCCAGTACAATAATGTTTTGATTTCTGTAGCTTTGTGTTAAGTTTTTAAATCAAGACCTGTGAGTCCTCCAGCTTGTTCTATTTCAGCATTATTTTTGATTTTCTGGATCTTTTGCATTTCCATATGAATTTTATTTTATTTTATTTTTATTTTTTATTTTTTGGCAGCTGGCCAGTAAGGGGATCTGAAATCTTGACCTCGGTGTTATATCAGCACCACACTCTCCCAAGTGAGCTAACCAGCCAGCCAGCCCTTCCATATGAATTTTAGAATCAACTTGTCGACATTTGCCTACCCCTCTCACCGCAAAAACAAACAAACAAAAAACACTAAGGGCTGACTGGTTAGCTCAGTTGGTTAGAGCATGGTGCTGATAACACCAAGGTCCAGGGTTCAATCTCTGTACCAGACAGCTTCCAAAAAAAAAAAAAAGCTAGATGGGATTTCAGTAGGGATTGCATTGAATCAATTGATCAATTTGAGGAGTACTGCCATCTTAACAATATGAAATCTTCTGCCCCATGAACATGATTTTTTCATTTATTTAGATATTTAATTTCTTTCAACAATGTTTTGTAGTTTTTAGTGTATAAATCTTACACTTCTCTTAAGTTTATATCTAAGTATCTTATTCCTTTTGCAGACAGCTTCCCAAAAAAAAAAAAAGCTAGATGGGATTTCAGTAGGGATTGCATTGAATCAATTGATCAATTTGAGGAGTACTGCCATCTTAACAATATGAAATCTTCTGCCCCATGAACATGATTTTTTCATTTATTTAGATATTTAATTTCTTTCAACAATGTTTTGTAGTTTTTAGTGTATAAATCTTACACTTCTCTTAAGTTTATATCTAAGTATCTTATTCCTTTTGTTATTATTATAAATGAATTGTTTTCTTCATTTCATTCTTGGATTGTTCATTGCTAGTGATGAGAAATACAATATATTTTTGTACATTATTCTTGTATTCTACAACCTTGTTGGTTTATTAGCTCTGATAGTGGTGTGTGTGTGTGTGTGTGTGTGTGTGTGTGTGT